TTAAAGGCCCATGGTGCACCCTGAAATTTGCATTTCCTAGCATTTCTTTGTCTGTTTTTGTCTTTTTAACAATTACAGGATGCTACCTCCATGTACCTTTAATGTGCAAATTTATTTATGGATGCAATAAAAGTTGGGTATAAATGCATCATCCTGGATCTGTGAAATTTAACAGACGACATCTTTCCAAAGGCTAGCTGCATATGCTTAAATAACTTTTTAGTATCACACAGAGTCAGTATTCAAGGGAGCAGCTTCATTGTTTAGAAATGACAATCAGCATGCCAAAACAAATGGGACACACACACACATGCACGCACACGCACACGCACATTACTGTCTGTCTGATATGATATAGCTATAGATAGTGACTGTCTAAATCCACCTGCCACTTTTCCAACCATACCAATGAAGGAGTGAGCATTCAGAGATACAGCATAATGAAGTGGCCATACTAACATGCTCTTCAAAGTGCAGTGAAATAAATCTGCAGAACTGGACTCTTCTGCTTCTTCTGTCATTTGATCTCCAAGCCACAAAAGTCTTCATTTTCACTACCCTGCACATTAGATTGCTATTAAAGGCAACCTAAGTTGTGCTCTTAACCTAAGGACAGACTTGTTGTGCTCATATGAAGTCCCCTTCAGTCATAGCATTCAGTTTCCAACAGATGCTGGCTGACATTTGAGAAAACTTCCATGCAGAGTTTAATGCCGTAGCATTTCCTCTCTCTTCACTTTGCAGTAACTGGATCGGGAGTGCTGTCTAGTTTGGCTCCTGGGAGCACCAACATGCCCAAAGTTACCTGTGCCAGGGCCTGCCAGATTCCCTGTCCCACCTGATGAGTGTTTTGTGGGGGGGGGGAGTTTAAAGAGTTAGTTTCCAGGATCATCTTTATTTCCAAGAATGCCTCTGGATTACTCAGGAGGGGGGAAAAAACATCCAATCCACTATCAAAAAGTTAAAAGGAACTGGTAATTCTAGTAAAAGAGGGAGGGAGTGTCATGTCAAATGCAAAAGAATTTCTCTTCTCCAGTCCCCACAACCATTTTTGATCTCTGCTTTCATTTAACCAGAATCTGACTGAAGTGATGGAGTCTGAATAAATTGTGAGTAATTAAAGGATTCACAGCCAAGTATTCTGTTTCAGTCTGATGACCAGTAAAAGTCGCAATACACTTGCCAGTTTAGGACAATACATTGAAGCCCCATTGAAAATAAAACAATGGCTTAATAATAATAACAACAACAATAAAAACACAACTGAATGCAGTCCCATTGCATAATAACACACAGTTATCTTCCAGATTGTGCAGCAGAACCAAATAGTAAGGTTCATTAGTGACTGCAAACGGCAGCCCGTGTACAGCCAAGGAATTCTTATCGACAAACAGCCAAGAATTTGTTCAGCATCTACAACAAATCATTGGGGGACTGGACAAATGATATTTACTCTCTTTTAATTACCCAGCAAGATTAGTGTTTGTGGTCTGACTAAGTAGGTCACAAACGCAGCAATGAAAATTAATTGTGTTATTGCATGGTAGTGATTTATACATTTTTGAGGACATAATTTTGTATCTGTGTATTAAAGCTTCAGCTTTTCAAAGCGATTCATTTTTAAAAGATCTATTAGCATCATAAAGACAGTATTTTATTGTGAATAAAACATACACTTGGTTAGTCACACTTCTTTGCATTTATCATCTCCTGCATTGATGGAAAGTAGTCCTCTGCAGGGTCTACATCTGCAGAATGAGAATTTTAACCCAGAACGGCAGTCAGTTCACAGATGAACAGGTTCTGTTATGGAAAACAGACTGACCCGTCTTTTTTCACCCAAGCCATGCTGTCCAAGGATGATGGGAGTTGTAGTCCAGTAGATCAGGAAGTCAGCACATTAGGGTGCTTTGTAGGTATGCACACAACCTACAGGTAGTCCTCGACTTACAACCACAATTGGGACTGGAATTTCTATCACTAAGCGATGCAGTTATTAAGTGAGTCACACCCGATTTTACGACCTTTTGTGTCATGGTTGTTAAGTGAATCACCATGGTCGTTAAGCAAATCACATGGTTGTTAAGTGAATCCAGCTTCCCCCACTGACTTTGCTTGTTGGAAGCCCTCTAGGAACATCACAAACAGCAATCATGTGACCCCATGACGCTGCAACCATTGTAAATACATGCTGGTTGCCAACCACCCAAATTTTGATCACATGACCACGGGGACACCGCAATAGTTGTAAATGCAAAGACCGGTAATAAGTCACTTTTTTCAGTGCCATCATAACTTCGAACAGTCATTAAATGAATGGTCGTAAGTCAGGAACTACCTGTATTTGATTACTCATGAATGCACACTGTTTCCAGATTACATTACCTACTCTCCATAAAATGGTACTGCTTTGAAACACTTTCCTTTTTTTCTTAACCTTGTTAAAAGATTGTCATCCCTGCAAGATTCAGGTCTCTTCCCAATATCTCTTTGATGAAGATGTGAATGGGTAGCTGAATCCTTCTTGTTTCTTCAATGAAGAATGAGGATAACCCAGAGCCTGTGACTCCCACCTTAACTGCAGCCATCCAGCCCCTGAGATCTCAGCACTGAAATCTGACAGCTAAATTTCAGCATCACAAATGTTGCTCATTTTCTGGAATTTGGGATGATCTAAAGGCTAAGATAAGGGCTGCATCTTTGTTTCTTCTCAGAACAACAAAGGCAACTCAGAGTCTGCAGCTCCAACCTTTTTAATTGCAGTTCTCCAGCATCCCCCTTGATCTCAGCAGTGGAATTCAACAACAAATGGCTGGATTTCAACACTACACAATTCTGTCTTCTTTTCTGAGATTTTTTTTGGGAGGGTTCTTAAAGGAGGGAATAGGAATGCCTTGCATCTGGAAGATCCTCTGAGCCTATCTCTGCCCTTATACTTTGTCACAAGCACCCTAACATTGTTTTTTTTTTTTTTAATCACCCATTCCAGCATCTCACTGGATTGTTAGATGGCTTCCTCCAGCCCTCCACAACTTTGACAGACTGAGTTGTGGCCACTGGTCTCTTGAATATAACCCATGTACTAAAGCATCATGCACCAGTGTAAAGAAGAGATAGGTGAGCTCCATTACCAAAGTGACAAGAAGAAAAACATGTCTTAAGCCCCAAATGCACAAAAGGAATGCAGAAGTGGCTCAGACAGACACTTCCCTAATTCACGTGAGTATAAGAGGGGGAGGAAGTACAGTACAATCAAGCTTGCAAGATTATATTACTGTAGCCAATCTTGATATAAGTAGTTTTATAGCCTTCCTATTTAGTTGATTTCCTGGTCTGGTCTACATAGTACAGCTGATAATACCCTGCCGCAGGGTAAAATGAGGTCTTTGGGGCTATGGACAATATGTGCTATAACAATTATATATTTTCCCAATGGCTTACCAAAATCACTTCCATGGCTTTCAGGTCAACAGATGATAGCCTTTCATAGAGTTCAGCCTTTCTCAACCTTTTTGTCCTGGAAGAACCCTTGATATAATTTTCAGCTCTCAGAGAGCCCCTGAATAAAAATTATTAGACCTACAGCTCATGGCACAGTATGTTAGTGTGATCGGTAAGTTGTAGATGTGTTAATATTTTTTCAGTTGTGATCTCTCATGGAAGCCAGCTGAGAAAGGCTGGGGTAAATGGATGCAGAATGCAGCAGGAAGAGAGAACCTCCACAGTGATGATGGTTCCTAGGACAACTCCCTGACACACCTGTGATGTGTTAGAAACTAGGCTGCACACTGAATTGGAGATAACATTCTGACCCTTGCACAACCGTCTTTCAAGGTCAAGAGAAGCCTGAAAATGTTGGGCTACTTGAGGTGCTTCCTTGTACCAAATCATCTTCTAATTGTGCCTGGGATTCTTAAAAACACACCATTCACATCTCACTTTCTTTGCCCCACATGTGTGCCTATTGTGGCTTTATTACTTAACTCTGACAACAACTGCTCTCATCCACTCTATACTCCCTTCAAAGTCCATCCAACATGACTCTCAAACACAGTAGATGTCACCGCATCACAGAAGTCTGGTGTTGGTTTTGAACCAGGAGTCACAACCATATCTTCTCAGTCTGAAGAGCTTTTCATCTGTGGATCTGATTGTTGGACAAACTTGGCAAAATTGAAGTTTCCTATAGAACTATATAATAAGTGTTTGCCTATGTAAGCAAGCAAATTCCAGATAAGGACAAACTGGTTATGAATCATAACTGTTCTTTTAAACAGGGGTATCCACAGGAGGGGTCAAAAAAGACAAGATGGTGGCCATGTTGCATGTAAAAACGGGCCGGGCTTTGATCATGCAGTCTTGACATGTTGACTCCTCCTGCAGACAACCCTGGCTCTTAACGCCCATGTTAATTACCCTGAAAGTTCATTCTGAATAGGCTTTAACGTAGTCAACAGAGATATAAATTTCACTGTTATTCAATTCTAGGCCCAGGCACAGCTCATGGTTTTCTAAGCCGGGTTGCTACCAAGCCTGTTCTGGCACCCATGTTTCCATGGCTGGAATGCTCTGCTCTGCTAGCAACCGAAGAAAAGCACAGGAGAAGCAAAAGAAATCTGGCTGATGTCTTGCCTCCAAACAGCCAGTTCTTGTTCTTCTATTCCCCCACCCTCCTTCCGTCTCTTATGCACCCATGCCTGGAATCCTTTTTTTTCCATTGCTGTCCAAAATTCATGATTGTGCAAAACACTCCCAGATGCTTCCTTCCACAAATGCTAGCAAAAGACAAAGCTCTCTGCCAACGTCAGCAAAGATTTCCCCACCACAGGCTGTATAAGACAACTGCTGTTGTCCTCGACACAACCTACACATCATGACATGGTTGTAAGAAAATACAAATCTCAGGACTTTTCTCCCCCCTGCCCCCCCCCCGGTTTTCTTTTGCTGCATCCATTTATTTTAGATATTATATCAATGCCATTTGCACAGCTAGCATTAGGACCGGATCAGCACTTCCTTTCTCTCTGAGGCACGTCAGCTTTGACAGGCCTGTTCTGACCTTCCTGTTAAAGGCAGGAGAGCTTTCGAGTTCAGACTTCAAGACGCCTGCACCCATTATATTAAAATCTGGTCACTGGAACCCGAAATCGTGGGGAAACAACAGGGAGTGGATAGGTTGTATGTATCCCGGTCTTCTCTCCTTTCCTTGTGTGTGTGTGGTTTGGTTTGGTTTGTTGGTTTGGGGGTTTTCTGCTTGTTTCTTTCAGGAAAACTTTGAGGAGTCTACAGGTTGTGGTCCTCCTAATGCCCAGGATCTGGTTCTCCTCATCTCTCAAAATGAAAGAGGGATGAAAATCTTAGCGAGAACTAGCTGGATGGCCCAGGGTGGGTTCCCTCTGCTGCTCCCTTCAAACCAGTGCAGTGGGGAGAAATTTCTGGCAATATTGTTTTGACAGTTGCTTTTGGGAATTGTGGGTGACCTTGACTCCCCATCTTTCTGTGCCTTATCCATAGGTAGCTACCTACCAGAACCCTCTTATCCATGATGCCTTCAATTGCTCCCCATGACAGGAAGGCCAGTTCTGAGTGAAAGGTAGGAGCCATTTCTAAAAAAGGAAGCATTTCCTTCAACAGTGGAAGATGATCTGGAAGTGCTAGTCCCCTTTTCTGGGATTTTTCAACTCCCCAGTCTAGCCTACACATCTAGGAAACTAGGAAATCTCCTGGTGGTATTCTATCTAAGTACTAAGTAGATCTGATGTGCTTAGTTTCTCTTGAGTCACTAAGTGTTCGACTTATATGCAATTCTATGTGCAAGCCTGCAGATTGGAGAGGCATCCCCAAGGAGAAATCAGGGAGGGGCCAAAGCTCCTGATGCATTGTCGCAACACAAGCTTCCACCCCTTTTTTGGGTGTCATTATGATGTCACACACAGACACAAAAGGGATGGACACTTGTTTTGTCATTTGGGCAAACAAATCAGGCTCTCCAGACATGTCTGAAAATTTCACAAGAGGTTTACTCATTTTTCACCTTGTGCATATCCTTAACAGATTTTGAATTGCGCTCAGAGCAAGGATACCCATGTAGTAGCTCCAATATTTGGAGCCCAGAGTCCCCCATTGTGGGGAGATGGGCAGGGACAAATTAAATAAATAAATAAATAAAAATAATAATAATATTTTAGAGTGTTTTGCTGCAGCAGCTGAAGGTGGGGGGAAAAAACCCAGAAAAGTTGGGAATCAGCCTTTCTCAGGTTCTAGTTTCTCATATCCAATGTTCCACTTTTATTTACCTTCCAAGGTCGATCCCAAACAGTGTTGAACAGGGGTCAGAGGTCCAGCTCATGGCCCCTACTTTGTGGGGTGCCCCAGGGTTCGGTATTCTCTCAGCTCCTTTTTAACATCTACATGAAACCACTGGGCGAGATCATCTGCCACCATGGGATAAGGTATCATCAATGTGCAGATGATACCCAATTATACATCTCCATCTCAGGTGATTTGAGAGATGCCACGACCGCCTTTTCGCAGTGCCTGGAGGCTGTGGGGGTCTGGATGAACCCTGGTAAGACAGAGTGGCTGTGGATTGGAGGCCCTCTGTATCCAAGGATTTGCCATCTTTGATTCTGGATGGGGTTGCACTGCCCCAGCTGGACCTGGTACGTAATCTGAGGGTCCTCCTGGACTCATGACTTCTGCTTGAGGAGCAGGTGGCAGCCGTGGCCAGGAGGGCCTTTGCCTATCTTCGTGTGGTACGCCAGTTACACCCTTTCCTGGATCGGGAAGCTGTTCAGCCAGTCACTCATGGCCTGGTCATCTCTCAGCTAGATTATTGGGGATAAACATGGGGATACCCTTGAAGAGTATCTGGAAGCTACAGCTGGTTCAAATGTGGCCATGTGGACAATCTTGGGTGCCCCAAGAATGGCACATATAACACCTTTACTGCATGAGCTGCATTGTGTCCCAGTCTGGTTCCAGGTCCAATTCAAAGTGTTGGTTATTACCTTTAAAGCCCTACATGGCATGGGTCCAGGTTACCTGAAGGACCATCTCACCCCCATTATATCCACCCGTCCCACCTGGACAGGTAGAGAGGGCATGTTGCAAACCCCATCAGCTAGAGAATGTCAGCTGGCGGGGCCCAGGAGGAGAGCCTTCTCTGCCGTTGCCCCCGCCCTCTGGAATATTATCCCCCCTGAGGTGCGGCAGGTCCCTACCCTCCCAGCTTTCCGGAAAGGATTAAACACCTGGCTCTGCCAGCTTGTGTGGGGTGACAAGAATCTTACCCAATCCTGCGGGTGGCTGGTGCCTTGATGACACTTCCTGAGTGACTGCCAATTTTATATTTATCCTTGGATCTATTTATTTTCTATTTATCAAGATTATTGCATGTTGTAATTTTAATTGATTTTAACTGTTTTGCAAACTGTCCAGAGTCATTTCAACAAGATGGGCGGTGACAAATTTGATAAATAAATAAATAAATTTACCGGGAACTGCATACAAATTCCTCGATTTTATGACCACGTCCCATCAGCTGCTGATGAAATATTTCTATATAAATTTGTGACCTGTTACAGATCCCTACAGGAATCATTTCCTGCTTACTTAGTTCATTTTCTGGATTCTTGCAGATTGTAACCTTAAATCAGAGGCTTAAGAGAGCAATGCTACTTTTCTCCTTTACTTACCCTCAGTATCTGACTTCTGCCTTTCATTTACAAGGACAATAACTTTTATCTCTCTCTAGCAGAGAAGATGGACTGTAGGAACTCTCTCCTCTGATTATGTGTTCAGGACGGTGCCAGAGAAAACATGTGGACTGGCCAGGTCAGTTACCAGCATGAGTGTCTAGAAAGGGCAGTGGGTAGCACAGTCTTGCCAGAATCCTAACAGCAGCTCACAACTGCAGAAGCTAGATTCTTACAGAATTCTTCTAAGGAAAAAGGGGCTAGGTTACAAAACCTTGGAAACTGTATATTTTAGACTTCATTTATTGGTGAGTATATTAAATCAGGTCCTCCTGGGTGCCTTTGATCCTCTTTCCAACTGCACCTGAACCCAAGAGGGAGGATGTACTCATTCAGAAGGTATAAAAGGATGCCCAATTGTTCTGGTTCTGCTGTCTTTGGAAATGTCCATTCCTTTTTTCCAGGCTCAAGTAATTTCGTTGCATCATTAAGTCAATGGATTGGGACAAAGTAACAGGAGCATTATGACAAAAACATCCAGTCCTAGTTAATCAGCTCATGATTTAATTCTGGATCAGCTGAAATTTCTGAACTCTTTTGCCAAGGTGACTCAAGCCAATGCTTTGCATGACTTAAATGGGAATGTATTAGATAAACTCCCATCAAATGGCCATGACCTTCACATTTCTTTTTAAGCACTTTTTTTTTTTAAAAAAAAGAAAGTCACTTGCAGTTTGGCTCAAGGAAAAGAAATCACAATGTGAAAAATACAAATTCACAGAATTTTTGGTTAAGATCAGATGTAGTTTTGTGCTTTTACCTTCTACTTTACAAGGAGCAATGCTGCTACATCTTTCTGCTGGGAGATCTCATGCTGTACTGTTTTGAAGCCTAACGCTCCTCACAATCAACCAATTCTGAATCAACCAATCAAAAATCGATTAATTTTTTCTACTTGCTGTTCTGTGAAAAGGTCCATTCAGCACTGAGAGTTCTACGCAATCATTTGTTCTAATTGTGCTAGAATCAAACATCTGGAAAGTTCTGGAAAGCTGCCATGAGGGCCAGAGGGCAATCTTCCTGTCATATTGTGGCTCAAACAGGGCTATTTCTGATTCCTATCTAACTCTCCAGCCAGTTCACTAGTCAACACATCAAATGACTGCTGTGATAAGCAATCAAATAAGACTTTTTCCCCCCTAAATATGTATGTGGAAGGCACAAATTTGTTTGCTGAAAAATCTGTGTGTGCTTGTTTTCTATTGTATATGCTACCAATAACTGTTGAAATGCACGCGCACACACATGGGAACATTTTGACTTACTCATTTTCACTGTCCTCAGTGACTTCACAACACACCTAAGACACTGCCCCATTCACTGCCTGAGTCCTGCTGAGTTACATGAGCAATCCCATGACCCAATTTAGAAAAGAGAAAAAGAAATGGTCAAGATTTAAAATGGGGGAGCTGTAATAATAGACAGGAGAAACAAGAGCCAAAAACACAATTTAAATATACACGATTGTGTTTTGGAGGAAAAGAATTTGCCCCACTGAATATTTTATTGTTGTTATTGGTTTGTGGGTGTTATGTGTTCCTTGTTGTGCTAGTTATGTTTGTATTTTTTGTAAGCCAATTAAGAGCCTTTTTGGCATTGAAAAGCATGTAAATTGCAGCAATAAATAATAAAAAATAAAACTGAGTTTCTATAATGTCGTGAACCTTGGGGATGATCAGAACATTGTTAATAAGACTCCAAACATTACAAGTATTAAAAAGTTAGCTGAACAAAATATTACATGGTTCTCATGGTTCATGGATCATTAGACAGTGATCTAGAACTCAATTTGCAGAATCTGGAATTACAACATGCCATGAGATGGGGGGAAAAGATTCCTGCAAGGAAAATAATTCCAGACAACTCGAGAAAACAAGTCAAGCTAGAATTTCTGGGGAAATTCAGGAGCCTATCATTTTGACTAAAGGATGGCCCTCTTAACAAGCAGACTTTGCCAAAGTCAAGGGAAAAAGAAAATCATTTGTTCCTTGTGCAGAAATTTTTGGGGAAAGGACATGATACATGGGGTGAATGCCACCATAAATCATCTAGAAGTTTCCTGCTTTCTTCTTCTGCAACTTGTGTGCAGCCCTCTGGAGCATAAGTTAATGTTCCAGTAAAATGAAAAAGAGGGAGATTTTGGAGACCAGAGCCACCTACCTGCCTGCTGAGTATCACTGCCATTTATTTTACCTGACATGCTTCCACAAATATGTTAAATTTCAGGAAAATTAGCTTTGCATCTTGCTCTAGGAAGAGGGATTTCAGCTTAGGAAAGAAATCATGGAGTAATCTTTTATTTCTTTGAAAGCTGCTAACAAAATAAAGTGATGCTGTGTAAGGACCCATTGATCAAAGTTATTTTGATTGCACGGGCAGGATAAGGGCTCTGTTCTTATTCTCTCTTCCTACTTGCCTGCTAACTCCTGCTGCCTATTCCTTTTCTTCAATGCTCAAGAAATGGAAACACTGAGTGAAGCTCTAGAGCAGTGTTTCTCAACCTTAGCAACTCATGTGCTGGCGGGGGAATTCTGGGAGTTGAAGTCCACACATCTTAGAGTTGCCAAGGTTGAGAAACACTGCTCTAGACAGTATCCCCAGTCTAAGAGCCCACTGAGGGACATACAAGTCCAACTGAAATCAACATGGACTTAAGTGCACATTTGACACAGGGATGGAGGATAGAAGCTGTAGAGAAATGTTTGAGATAACCCTGGTGGGAAATCTCCAATTTGTTCGCTTGAGCCCCTGTTTATCACAGCATATGGGTGTGAAATACAGCATCTTGGGAACTGAGATAGGATCCTCCAGACCACTTTTATTGAGTTCATTAAGGCACAGTCTCTTTAAACATCATGAATCCCTTCTTCCCAGAATTTCTACAATCCAGATGGAACTGCTGTTTACAAGATAAGCTACTAACCAATCTCCCATCTGTGGTATGTTTATGGCAAGAGCTCCTCCTGTTTCTTTTTTTGGCCTCTTCACAATTTCTTATAGCCAGCTTTTTGGCCGAAACAAAATATCTGAAAGTTCACAGTCATCTTGTTAGAATGTGAAAATACCCAGAAGTCACTGGAATTTTCCACTGGAATTTTCCATATTATTTTTCTTTTGGTTTCTGGAAACAATTTGCATTGAAAAGTTACTGACCTGGGCTCTGTTTTATCTATTTTGAATTCTATGGTATTAACACAGTTAGGAAAGATTTTAATGTAATGTGGATGCTCCAGCCCTGCAGAACATTCACATCATTATAACCACATAGACAAATACTGACCAGAATAAATGGCCCTCAAGTTTTATCAAGCACCCTAGCTAATTGGTTAAGATATCTCTCTTCCGCCATGAAGCTGCTAACCTATGTAAAGCTTCTATAATGAGCCAACATATTAGCTTACAATTAAAGTTAGGGAGAACCATATACACATACATCATATTCCATGAGATCTGACTTTTGGGTTTGCAGACCAATCTGATCATTGTGTCCCTTGTCTTAGAAGCTAGTTTTTCCATGAAAGAGAAAATTTCCCCCATTTTTTTCTCTTAAAATCATGAGTGTCTGCAAATTGCAGCAACAGCCATTTGTAGAACTTTCCTTTTCCCCAAGTGTCCTTGACTTAAAACAAACTTGCAATTAGTACCTTTTACTAAGGTTGTATACAGAAGTAAAATCTGAGAGTCTTGAACATAGCAGAACAATAACGTCGTCTTTCAAGAAAAGAATTTCCCCCCTTTCTATGAAATCTTAATCTGGCTATGTAGATACCTCAATCCTGACCCAACAACCTCTTTATTTTAAAAAAAAAAAAAATCCATCCTTTTA